ATTCGACATATTTTGTAGCACAGGGTGACGATGAGTTGTTTATTTTTCTTTACTTTTTTACTTTTATACGTGATTACTTTACTGCCATGCGAATAGCAACATTTGGATCAGCAGATCGCTCCGTTATATCATTTTTCACCCATATAAAGTTAATTATACAACTTTTAAAAAATTAACTTTCTATAGCTCATTTAATTGCTCATGATCGTTTGTACATATGTATATGCAACATTTCAAATTTTCGTTTACATATTCCGAAACAGGTCGATTTTTCGATTGTATACTTTTAGTTAAAAAGTTATTAACAATTAAAATTTCGAAGACGTTCGACGCAAATGGATAGATTCAAATGAGCGATCAAATGAGCTATAGAAAGTTAATTTTTTTCAAAGTTGAGGATCAGTTTAGCACGGGTTTATTCTTTGAAAGATGTAAATTACAATATCCTTCTTGCTTTCCTTTTCCTCGAAGTAATGTCTTACATAGATTAGATAGACAGATCAATTTATTTTCAAGAGGAATTGTTTTCTCATATTTAATATGTAATGAAAAAACTTAATTTTAAAAAAAGATTCGCTGTAAATTAAGGTGCTGAAAAAGTTAATCATAATTATTAGACTCATAATCAGTCTTGCATTTATACGATGTATACTTATTAATTTATAGACTTACTTGAAGCTGCGGTTTTAAATCTCTTATATCATTTATATAGACACGACAAGCTATGGGCGTTACTTGTACATGACAACTCATTATTTTCTTAAGTAATTAGGTATATTCAGATATGAACATTTTAGTCTTTTCTAAAAAAAAACAGCAGATCTCATTTGCATGTGACGTGGTGACGTAATACAATTTTTCGTCAACTACATTTCATGCACGAATATCTGACGGATTGTACAGCAAGTCTTATTACGTTATACTCGATATATCGCGATGTAATAAGATTTTTCATCCGACTCGTGTACTACCTGCTTAACGGGAACTTGCATAATATATTATTTATTGCTCCAATCACAATATATAAATAGAATAAATTCTTCGTCTGCGAAACGAGCTCGATTCGCAGCTCGCGACTATTGATACAAACTCGAAAAATCCAAGCTGAAAGGTCAACGAGACCTTTCGCTGAAATTGTTTGTAGAACGGTGCGCTTGGTAATATTTCAAAAGAAGAGCATGTCCTTTATAAAGTTAACTGTGTACTTTATCTCGCTGTACGAAAAGATTGCGTGCCGTGTTAACATTTAACGATGCGTCGTCTTATAGCTCGGTCGCCGAAAGGACGTTGTCCTTTGGAAGTCATTAAGGTAAGAGAAAGGCGATTCCTTCTCGCGACAGAAATTTCGTAACGGTGCATGTTGATTTTCTCGCGGACCCATCAACTCATCCCTCCTAAGGCGCTAATTTTAGAGCTATCAGTTACTATTATATATAGAAAGAACGGTTTTGTTGAAATATCTATAATAAAAATTGAGCTAAACACAGATTTAAAAATAATTTTATTTGGAATTAAAATAATTATGTAGGATGCGCTTTTATGTAGTTGCTAGAACGTTAAAACTTTTTGCAACATTGTCAACAATTCAGCGTTCTACATGATTAGTTTAGTGTTCCGACAAAATTATTTCCCTGTATTTAAATTTTTAGATATTTTAATAAAATCTTTCCATATACATCAAGACCTAATGATCCATTAAATTAAGCGTTTTTGACAGTTCTCCGAATTTTCGTGCATATTCTCACATATATAAAAAGTCAAATAAAAAGAAAAAGCTAAGCTGTCTCTATGTGTGATATATTCCGGCGATTGTTCGAAATTGATACGCGTTGCATGACACGTGCAAGAGATTCGAGCATGTATCGTTGATCTTTCACGCGTGCCTAATCGCAGGGCTCGTTGACTGCAATTTCCAAGCTTTTCCGGAAAGGTCGAGGCCGCCTTAGTCGTGCGGCCAACTTACAAATACCTTCCTTTCTCGATCCCGGTGAGCCTTCCGTAATACGAATTACGTGATTATCCTTCACTCACCCCTTATCCTCCTGCTGCGAATGGTTATCGCAATCAATTCGTCTCCGTGAACATTCACTATTCAATTTTGATTTTGTTTGTTCTATTTTTGTTTCATTCTTGCTCGTATACCGATTGAATAGGTAAAGACTTCGAAATGTCGAAGATAAAAATGTACATTTTATTGTATTTTATATCGAACATTGATTTGATATCGAACATTTTCTTGAGCTCACGCAGAAATTTGGTAGTCACGTATGGCAGCAGAAAAGCAATAAGAAAGTAGAAAATGGGAAAGTGACATCTCTTTGGCATTATTATATCGTCTATATGGATAAATTAAATTTTCGGTGCCTTTTTGTATTTAATAACTGCAATGGATAACATTGTATCATTTAGAATCGATTTATTAATAAATCCAGGTGAGATAGGATATTTCTAATTTATTTTCCGACATCTCTCTCTCTCTCTCTCTCTCTCTCTCTCAAAAGAAATTATATATACATATGATCCTTGAATTATTTATAAGAATAACAACGATTTAAAAATAATATTTTTATATTCCATCTTAACTTTTTTAAAACGCTAAAGTTCAATTACTTTTACTATTCTAACAGAAACGATTTTTCTGTAACGATAAAAGATTTTTGTTTTCGAGCAATAATTCAATCGTATTTTCGGCATTCGCATATATAATGAGTTTACACTCCGCCACGGTTTTCACATTTCACTAGGACCTTTTGCCGTTTTATATCCAACGTAACGTCGCGTATTATTACATAATTATCAAGTTTTACGCCATCGTGTCCGAGTGAAACGTATAAGAGGCGTCTCCCCAGCCTTTACTTTCGATATTCAATCGCCCGTTTCTAAACGATTTCACGACTTTTGTTTGATCAAGATATCTGATTTGATCGAAATACTTTCTTCATTAGAAGGAAGGAGAATATCGATTTTCATTGAATAATCAAATTATAAAACGTTCTTTACCATTTTTAGATCTATCAGCCTCTAGGATATTTTATGTAAAGTAGAAACGTTGGTGACAAAAATTTCGCGGTTATTATTTACATATTTACATTATTGTCCAGTTTTACGACTGTTACATGATCGTTGTAACAACACCGTGGGGTTACACAACATCGTTGCGTGATTATATAGTCATTTGTTTATATAATTGTAACCAGTATCTGCTTCAATTATATTTTTATACATAATATTTTTATACATATGTATCCATTATCTATACGTGATACTTGTTGGAACTTTTACAAAATATTTTTAAGATATCCGAACGAATTTTTTTCTCTTTTTTTCAATCCTAATTCCATTTTTGGTTCTTTTTATTGATAATAAATTTTCCGTAATTTTTTTAGCATGTGCGATCAAGCGCGAGATTACGATTGCAAGAAAGGCCTTAAAAAGGTCATTGTGGTTGGTCCCCTCTTAAGTTCTCTCGACAATGCGTCACCGGAAACGAAAAAAACGAAAGGAAGAAATTCATTGGTTAATAAAAAATATCGCCTTGAAGTTTGCTGATTGTAGTAATAATTAAATTGTAATATAATTATGTAATATAACATTATTAAATGTTATTAAATATCGAAAGTATGAGTATTGTACAAGCACACAGTATTATTAATTTGTGATATTGATACAAGAATGATTTCATGTATTATATAATGAATCATAAGTAAAATTTCATGTTACTCTTACTGCATTACTTCAAGTTCGTGCTTTTCTGTGCAAGTCTTCGACATTGAATTTTTTAATGTTATAAATTTAATTTGTAGAGATATTGATCAATATTTAAATTTCTAAAATTTGTTTTGAAGATTTTTCACATCAAAGATTCGTAAGTTTAGGAATCTACATCAGATATTTTTCAATGTGGCGACGTGAAGATTTTAATACCTGTATAAATACGGACTCAATATAGTTTAAGAATATGTTGTATTTTAAGTCCACACACAGAGGTCAGATTTATTTCTTAATTCTTGTTTTATATCGTCAGTAATAAATATTAATAATTGCGAAATAACACAAAATTACGTGGAGATTATTATAGTTTATTTTGCAAAGTTGTGAAAATTAGAACGAGCCATTTGGCGCGGATTATGGTTACGATCTGATAAATTAGTTAAACGGCGCAAAAGACCGTTTAGAGAAATGAAAGGATCTCGTCCGCGGCAATTGGAGAAGAAGGCATGTGTTATACACGCTCTCTAGAAACATAAAAACGAGCTGTGTTCCAATTACGTGCTTATATATCAAGCAATAGGAGCTCGTCGGCCATTTTAACGCCGCCGCAGGATCAAATGTATGCGATGTATTCCGTGACGACACATTTCTCCGTAAATCAATCACGCTCCAATTCTTCGGAGCGAAATGATCTCTTCTCTCATCACTAACACGCATCCTTCCGACCTCCTTCCCGTTCACCACTTTCCTCGGCTCCGCTCTTCTGCCCTTTGGAGAACGTGGAGAACGCGTGCTGCAATCTGGTGACTTCAATATAAAGCATTTGGATTGCGTTACTCTTGTGCGAACTGTGTTTACTGTCGATAGAAATTTCTTATAAAAATATTTCTTTTCTTTTTTTTCTAATTTTTTCATTAATGATTACTAAAATTTAATTTTTTACTAAAATTAGCTTTTCACAGATTTAAAAATTTATTTTTTTTATTAACTTATGTGTTTACCTATGAACTGTAAATAGAAATTGGAATTAAAATATAAGAAGTATGTATGGAAAAAAGGTTTAGTTTATATTTATTTACAAATTTGAAAACTTCTACTTTCTTCATAGAATGATACATTAAGAGAATGAATGCAAAACTTACAGAGTAGGACTAAACTGCATTATATCTCTACTTGCTTATTCATTTCATATTTTTAGGCTCTTTCATTATTATCTTCGAGGAATTGTTTTCAAATTTGCTTAGTAGTAATTCTACTGTTTGAAGAGTTTTAATTAAATACTATCGCGCATAATGAAAATGAGAAATAATTAACATGATGATTTAATAAACGTTTCTTTAATGTGTTTCTTTATCTTCGATGCGCATTCCTAATGCAAAGTGGGAGGTGTACTGGAGGGCTCACTGAAATAGAAAAAAACATGTTAATCCAAATTAATGATATACGAATTAATATCTATTATATACATATATATAGTAAGGTATCTATTTTTTGAAAATAAATTTGAATATGTATTGAAGAAACAAAGAGTTTTAGAGAAAAAGAATTTTACCATATTGCAAGATTGAATGGCATACAAGAGTCCGATGGTTTATCGTATGAGAATCCTGGTAGACATTCTACCACTTCAGATTGATTGCTCCTACAAACTACCACTTTAGTACAAAAGTCATTGAGTTTGTATACGTCGCCATCATGACACGGAGTTATATTTAGTTCGGATGGTAGGTTCGTTTGGAGTAGGGTCCACGGGTTTGTTAAACTGGAAGTTTCTATCACTTCATGTGCGGGTTGATCACTTGTTGCTGGATTATTAGTTAATATTTCTTGTTTCTGTATCTCTTTGTCACTCTCTAGTTGAGTTTCATTAGGTTTCGCTAGATTTCGCGGATGCCAAGAATCAGACTTGGGTTGATTCAGCCAAGGATTTCCGGAATACGAAGGAGGCGGTGGTGGATAAGGTTGATAACTCGGTGGTTTAGGAGGATATGTTGATGATTGTGGCGCGTAAGTCGGAGGTTGCGGAGAATAGGTTGGTGGTTGAGGCTGATAAGTTGGTGGTTGAGGCTGATAAGCTGGCGGTTGAGGTTGGTAATTTGGTAGTTGAGGCTGATAAGTCGGTGGTTGTGGTTGGTAAGTTGGCGGTTGAGGCTGGTAAGTCGGCGGTTGAGGTTGATAAGTCGGTGGTTGAGGTTGGTAAGTGGGTTGAGGAGATGGCTTGGGAGAAGCAGTGGGCGGCTTGGTAGGAGCATAGGTAGAAGACGGCTGCGGAGATTGAGTTGGCGGTTGCGTAGGCTTCAATGGTTTCGGCGTAGCTGTGCCTTTGCAGTCCACGTTGCGTTGATAGTCGCAAACATTAAGTATCTGAAAGAGGAAATTCTAACTGATACTATTGTTTATGTATATTAGTGCAGGATGTTAAAAGGAAACTATTCAGAATTTAGGTAATATACACTATACTACGTAAAAAAGTTTAGTGAACATTAACAGTTTAACTGTTTCTAAGATATATCATAAACACTTTTATGTTTATATCATAACTAACTTATTGTCTCTTCTGCGTGTTACATATGACATGAAAAGGGAGAAGTTGAGATATGTAGCTATTTGAGAAAACTACAGATTCAATGAGATGATCTCTCATAATGATCATCCAATCATAATGGCTGGTTGATAAAAACTTATTGATTCTCGATGAAATTTTTTATTACATATTGTATAAATTGAATTGAAATTGAATTGAAATGCGGTTCGTCAGAACGCGGTTTACTAGATTTGCGAAATTAAAACGCTATATTTTCAATTTTGATTTTTTTATATATCATATAAAAATACTCTTCTTTTATTTTTTAAAATAAAAAATTGTGAAACTATAAAAAGTGCTACTAGAACTGTTATTATTTATTTTATGTTAATAGAATGTTATGCTAACTATACAGATCTAATTTTTAGATATTTGTGAAGTTAGCACGACATTCTAAAAGAATAATAACAGTTCCAATAGTATTTTTCATAGTTTCTTATAAAAATAAAAAAATTTTGCATGTTTTATATTAAAAAATAAAAATTAAAAATATGGTGTGTTAACTTTGCAAATATCTTTAAGCTTAGAAAATTAATTTTAATTTATTTTGATTTATTTATTAAATTTTTTATCCAATTCTTTTTAACCAAATTGCAGAAATTCAAAGTCAAACATTGAAAAAAGTAACATATGGAAAAAGTACAAATTTTCAATTATATATATAATTTCATAACAAAATATTGCAGAAACGAAACTAAAATACAAATTTACTTTTGAAACTCTATCTTTCCTCTTTAAAATACATTTTTGTAAATTTCTGTATATATTTTTTATCGAAATATTTAATTTTTCATGAAATGCGAAAAATGGCAAGCGTTTCTGATCTTATTAATAGTAGAGTATACAAAATATATTTCACATAAATTAAAATTTAGAAGTAAGAAAGTGGATGTAAAAAGCAAGGTTTGAAGAAATCTATTTTAAGCATGTTGCTGCGTCACTCTGCATTTTACTGCGAACGTTTACGCCACATTTTTTTAAGAATGAATCCTTACGTCACTGTAGACCAGACCGAGAGGACAATAGAATTTGACAGGTTTGCCAGCGGCACACACGTAGAATTCTGAACAGTTGGTCGAGCTTCTGTAACGTCCGTTCGGATCCGGGCACAGATTCGATCCCGCCGGCAATGGTGGTTCTGTCAAGAGTAACATAAAATTATTTTTTTTACTTTCCTTGTCCGCATTTTTCAGATAATTAAGAATCTAAAGAGATAAATTTCTTATTTTTTAAATCATCGATCAATTATCACTATACTATAGTAGTGGTAATAATAATTTGTATGTGATATTCACATTCTTTTTCCGCTCCTTTGCTTCTTTTGTCGGCTTTCTCATACAAATCTTTTTTAAGCTTTGTTTAACGAAATTTATGCGATTAGAGTACTCAGTGAGTATTGGTCATCGCTATTACCGTCGGAAACTGTGAGCGAGCGATTCGCGCCGCGTAATCATCGATCACACTCACTCGGCGTAGCGGGCTGTCGATCACCGCAGTTGACGTTGAACGCGAAGTCGCAGTAACCGGCGACGTCATTGAAGAGTAGTCCGGCCGGACAGGTTTGCTCGATCACCACATCATCCCAGCAATTTAGATAGTTGGCGCAACTTTTCGGGCTCGGGTACTGGCCTCTCGGTCCTAGGCAGCCCGGCGGAGGTTTATACGGTGGTGGTGCCGGTTGCACCGGTGGTGAAATGGGATTCGGAACTTCATTTGTGTCACCCGGATTGTTTGGAAGTCCTGGGTACTGTCTGGCGCTAAGAACGATTCTATTTTCTGTGTCATTTTTCCAGGTTCCCGCACGAACATTTAGTTTGTGGCTGTCAAAGTTATTCCATGAGTTTTCTAGTTCTGTAATTCAATAGCGCGGATTGTTCCAATCCATAAGAATGTTATCATTGCAGATAAAAATGGCTTAATATTATATCAGCTCATGTACGATTAGGGTTAAGAATTGGTAATTAATAATGAATTAATTAATCACGAATTAATTAATGTATTAATTATTTATCATAACTAATAATAACAGTCACAGTTTTGTTTAACACTCCGCCTTATTTTATTTGAAAGGTTTAAAAATTAGAGGGTTTAAAAATTAAGAATGGTAAAAAAAATGACAAAGCGATTAATTTGATAAATAATAAATAATAATGAAAATATTATTTGGCGCATTGACTTAATTGTAAAAGCAATAATGATTCTAAATTTGGCGGAATTAACAATAAGAAAACAGATTATTTATGTTTATAATTATTAAAAAACAACAATTTTATAATTATTATAATTAATGTTAGAAGATAATTAATGTTATATTGTATAATTTATTTATAAATATAATTTACGTAATTTATAAAAATTAAGAAGTTTTTTAATTAAATATTTGATTAAAACGAAAAATGTAATAGAACACATTAAATAGAAAAAAAAACGATTTAAAAGATTTAAGAATTAGAATACACTTTAAATAATTTTACGTCTTTTTGTAATCTAAATGAATTTACATGTATGGTGTGTACGTGTTATTGTTAGTTTATTTCTGTCATGTTCTATAATTGTTACCAGTCATATACAGGATTCTTTCACAAAACTCTAGAGTCACAACCCTGAAGCTGCTGACACTGACCTTCGGTTTGTCCAGCGAAGGCGAGCTGTCTATCGACGAGCGATGCCGTCGTTGTCGTTCTAAGTCTGTCTCTCCTCCTAGCCGCATCGACGAGTCCCAGGACAAGGACCACAAAAACCAATATCACGCTCACTCTCATCTTCCTTCTATTAAACTTTTAATTTTTCTTCTCTTTGTCTCTTTCTGTTCTTCACCAACGACAGTTGTCAGGGATAAACGTCCTTCACCAGAGCGGAGGTCGCTCTTCTTTAAGACTATCTCGTCGAAACAATTTTCGCGGATGATCTGAACTGGTTGACAATCGACACCGGTAATCCTTGAGGTGGCGCGAATCCAGACGTACGGTGTCTTGATGCTGGATGGGCTGGACCTGATCGCTTCCAGGGCTTTACATAGGGCAGCCCCCACCGCCGTTTCTTGTAGGGTCTACAGGACCTCAATTACGCGGCGCGGCGTAGGACCCTCTTCTTGTTGCGCAGGAAGTGCTCGCGACCGTTGCTTTCGCACCGATTCGTTCATCCTCCTCTTCTTCTTTTTCTCAAGAGAATCTCCCTTCTCTACTTCTTACTCAAGGTTTCGAGGACTCCCCATTGGACGAGATTTAGGATGCACCCGAAGGATGTGTGCACGCTCATGGTGATCATTCGTTCTGTCCGAGTAGTTTATCTTTTTCTGTTTTTTGCCATTCTTCAAGGGGTTGTGGCGTTGGATATTGTTACTGGACGAATGTAGGATTTTAACCCTTTCGTGTATTAAATTCATTAAATGTACATTCCAAAAAGACTCGGTTTTAAACTTTTATTTTGAACTTATTGATAGATTCAACAAAGTTAAAAATAGTCTAATAGCCTGTTGACAGCTATGTTTTAAATTTAGGTACTGGTTCTTAAAAAATATAAAAAACTCATTAATCAAATTGAATGATTTTGCTGGCAATTTTAGGATCTCTTCTTGTCGACTTTAAGTAGTAAATCAATCTACTTTACTCAGGGCGCCGTATATTTTATGTTTGTTATGAAATTGTTACATTTTGTTTACGTTAAATTTTGTTCGTGTAGATAATGAGAGCGATGTAAAATATGTAAATTATTATAAATTGGATAATATAATATAAAAAGAATTAATGTTTAATATATTATAATTAAATATATTTATATTTAATTAATAAAAAAATTTTATGACGGTCAATATAATATTAATAAATATATGTATAACATTGTATACACGTAGATACAAATTTGAATGCTCATATTAGTACTGATAAATCGAAATCTTTAAGCGTAAGTTTGAGTTGTTTCGTGCATTTCTGATTTATTCGATTTCTTAGAATTTTGCTATATAATGTTGCATTAATAAGTACGTTATCAAGAAACATGATCGCATGATTTAGCGAATATTTTTTTAAAACTTATTACTTTTAAAAAAATGAGATATCTTGCTTAAATATTATATTTTTTCCATTTTATAAAGTAAAAATGATAAAAAATTTATATACGTAACAAGCTAAAATATGTTTGAGTAATCAAAGAAAAAATTTTATAAGCAATATTTTTTTAAAAGCTCACTATTGGAGTATTGATTTCCACAAATCGAGAAATCGTAATGCATATTCGTGAATTTCGTGATGACATCGGCTGTTTATGGGGCTTCCCGTGTGACCAAAACGGTGCTCTGTAGCTCAGAAAGATGAAGAAAAAATTCAACACCTGCGAGAAGAGATAGAAGGAGGAGAAGGACCCGGGCATTGGTATGCAAAGGTAGATGCACTCTCGAGAGGACTCGTTACGCATTCGTTACTCGAAAGTGTTTCGCGAGTGAGTCCTGTATTGGAGGCTGCGAGAGCGCGGCTCGCGTCTTATGTAGGAGGCCTCATCGTCCTCTAGGGAGGGCTCATCGTCCTTTTTATTATCCCTTCAGATAAGAGATTCGGTGTTTCGGCAATAAGGAAGAATCCGGTCGATGCGAACGATGCAGCTGAAAAGAAAAGGAAGAGAACGATTCTGCGTCGACGTAATCCTGGAATCCATCGAGTTTTCGATTCCCCCTGCCTTTGAATTTCGCGTCGTAATCTTGAATCACTCGGGATGACCTCGCCATTGCGTTCTTCAACGTGTCCTCAGGTGATGTGTCGTCAGCAAAGTCTGCAATATTTAAGGACATGCGTAATCTTGCGTATCCTTTTTGCATACATAATATCAGGATTTTTTGCAGATAGGGAAAAAGAAATAAAATTTTAATCTGATTTGATGGAAATTTAAACACATCTTACATATGCTATAATTAAAATAATATTGATTAGGCAGACAGTTATAAATATAACCTATCTTATATTTTATAACTGGATAATAATTTAATTTTTAATTTAAAGTTAAACATTTAAAATTTTTTACGTTTAAAGTTTACGTTTTAGAGAAAATTATTTTTTTTAATGTTATATATTCTTGGAAATTTATATTTTGTGCATTTAACATAAAAAATCTCTATTATTTTTATTTTTTACTTAGCACATTTTAATTTTATATTTGAATTATTATACAGTAATTTATACATAAAATATTTATACTAGCAAAAGTTTGAATGTTTTCAATTTAGCTGTTCGTGAATAGAGACATGTCATTTTACGATCAAAGTATCACGAGAATGACATCCAAGATAATCCCCGTTTAATCCTAGCAGTTGACATGTCCATCGCACGTTCGACAAAGCAGTCGTTCCTTCATCATTCGCGTCCGCTCGAGTCCTTGTCGTTGTTTTTAACTTGAGCGGCGAATCGCTTAGCCTTAAACTGCAAGCCAAGAAACTACAGGGGGATCTAGGATGGAATGCCGACAGGAGAGAGAAACGAGACGGGAATTCCGCTTGCTAGACCGCGAGATCGGCTCAGGGAGAGTTCTAACCCTTAGATGCATAGAAAGTGCGACTCTTGTATCTCTATTGTTTATATTAAAGTTAGTTATAATATTTAGCCAAAAAATTAGTTTTGCTGTTAAATTTTGAATATAAACGTATACTTTTTATATATTTAAGTAATTTTTTATATATTTTAATTAAATTTCTTTTAAAATTTAATATTGTTATATGATCTTTAGTTATTAATAATAATTAGTTTATTAATAATAATTTGTAAGATTATGAATTTATTTTTTATGTATTTTTAATACCTACTTCTTAAAATTTATGAATAACGTTAAATTCCATATTGTCATTATATTAAAAAAAATATATTAGTTTGTCCGGCAAATAGGACTGTGCAACTTTATTTTATTTGCAGTGTTTACATTTTATGACTATTTAACAAATAAAAATATTTCTTAATTAAATCAAATGCAATAAAAATGTGAATAAAAACATAACATTTTACGTTTTAAATATATAACATGTTTCATTTTCTTTATTTATGTCTTTAGCCAATAAATGTTATATACATACACACGTCCAGTGTTGAATCATATTGACATTTTTATCATATTTGATTTTATTTAAATATAATATTAATTTATAATCGTAATTAGTGTTGATTAAAGAATATTGATTTCCATATTTTGTTGTTCAGTGGTATCATAAACGTTGAATATTAAAGATGCTTAAGTTTGACGGATATGAAAATTATTTTTGCTTTTATCGTATATTATCGGTAGTGCTACAATGTTTCCATGCGCGTGATGCTGAATTGAATACCAAATCGTATAATAAATTCAAAGTGGCTTACACGGCACGCCACTTAAGTCCAAATACGAGGGCGATATCTCTGTCGGAAACACGCCAATATCTTACCAAAGCTTCTTTTGCGTCGAATTTTTATAAGCATTGATAAAAACGATACGCTTATAGATTTCTCAACTTATTCAGATTTCTCTTTTCAAGATTTCTATTTTGTTAATTAAATTAAGTTCAGCATTTTTTTTAAATTATTATTTTTTATTTCAAATATTAAAATTTTTTTATTTTTATTTAAATATTTACAATTGAAAGACTTTTGTTAATTTGTTTTTCAATTTTATTATAAGTTATTTAAATATATATTATTATTATTTCTAATATTGCACCTCGTGCAATTCTCGTTCATTTTATACTTTTAATTGTTTTTGGAAGATTTTTATTATTAAAAGCAGACAACATAACAATTTGGTACTTTGTTTATGTGTATGTTGTACAGAGTTTATTTAAGAAAAAAAATACAAATTAATGTTTGGGGACTATCATATATTTAACGACAAAGTCGCGAGATGTTTCGATCTTCTTGTCGTGGTATAAGTTTTCGATGTGTTCGGCGCGCAGTAGGGAGCAAATAAATTCAAACCTTCTAGAAGCAAAATGATTTTATGAATGCGTAGAAGAAAATCTGGCGAACGCGCCTAGCTTGGAGAACGCTGGGAATATTATTTCTTGTCGTTTGTAATAGATGGGTTTTAAGAGGCTTTTATCTATAGTAACAATTTTAATTTATTATTAATACAAATGTTATTAAATAAGGGATATGCATGGTATACTCTTTAATTAATAATATTAATATTAAATCTGTTGAAATTACTATTTCTTTTTGGCTTTAAATTTTTGCTTTATCAAATGTAAGTGTACGTTCCAAGAAATTTTCAACATCTCAGCATTTCCTTGAGAGCAGGAAAGAAACTAATGAATTTTGCTTAAATCTTTGAATTGAATTAAAGCTTTGTCTCGCACGCGCTGCATGTGTTTCGTTTGCGCAATGGAACTCGAAAAACAGGTTTGGAGAAACGTTGTGTTTTAAGGCAGGAACCATCCAAAGCGACGTTAAAAATGCAGACGTCGCTCGTTGATACCGTAATGCTCATTCGAATTCATTTTGGGCGTATCGGTACATCAGTCGCGGCGCAGGTTAAAGTGCACGTACATTGAAGAATATGTCCGATGCAGGTGGTTGTTATATTCTTATATGTGTTCATTATTTAATGCTGAATAATAGAACGATGTCCGAAAAATTATAAGCAGTTAGTGCAATCGCCTGGGTGCGATAAATTTCTTCAATGAGTTATTATTATCGAAAACACAACACTGATTACTTCGCATTAGTTTTATGGACTTCTTGATTAAGTAATAATGAAAAGTAAAAGTCTCGCGTATTAATTATCACACAGCACACGCATACACACACACATTTAATTTCAAATCTTGCTCGAAACGAATCTGCTTATCCTCCATAAAATGTTAAAATAAAGTTACACAAT